CTGCTCTGCCCCGCCTCCATTCCGTCCCTTCCTCCAAGCCCCGCCCCTGCTCTGCCCCGCCTCCATTCCATCCCTTCCTCCAAGCCACGCCCCTGCTCTGCCCCGCCTCCATTCCGTCCCTTCCTCCAAGCCACGCCCCTGCTCTGCCCTGCCTCCATTCTATCCCTTCCTCTAAGCCCCACCCCTACTTTGCCTCTTCCCCCATTCCACCCCTTTTCCCAAGCCCCCACCTCTGCCCTGCCTCTTCGCCACCTTCTCCCCCAATTGCTCCCCATCGCTGCCCCTCTCTCTTCTACCCAGAGCATCCTTAATGCCATAGATCAGCTGTTCACGGCTCTCTGGAAGTGTTGCAAGAGTGGGTGAGGAGTTAGTAAGTGGGACCACCAGCAAGTGAGAGGTGGGGGAGGGAAGTGAGATGGGGGGGAGGAGCTTGGTGGCCTTTTTTTCTACATGGCATCGGCATTGATGATTCCAGCTCAACAGAGAAGACATGAAAGAAGGAAAAAAAGAAAGCGGAAGTGAGTTCCAAAGATCACAGCACGTTTCAGAGCATAGAGCCCTGGTTTCCTGACCGCCTGGGCAGCATCCTTATCCATGCTGTCATGGTGCCTCCCATGAATGGGGTGTAACAAGCCCCCTCTCACCCTGGGCACTTTGTGCGCTGTTTGGAGACACCCCCGATGTACGATGCTGTAATCTCACCTATACACCAAAGGCACAATGAAGCGACTTTTCAGAAAGTGACAGGAACATGGGAAACCAGCTGCCAGTCAAAACGGGAGCTGCTCTCATGCGGGTCTCTCTTCTGAGTTATCCAACACTCTCGTTCCAGGTGTTTGATCCCATGAGGTTTTCGCCGAAGAATTCCGCCCAGCGGCACTCCCATGCTTTCATGCCTTTTTCAGCTGGACCCAGGTGGGGTGTAACGTTAGTGTCAATGTCTGTCTAGTGCTGCCCACAGACCTCCCCGGTGCTACATCAATATGGGGGCGGTGCTGCAAAGCACTCAGACCCCGATCTGGGTGGGAGTTTTGCCATTGGCTCCAATGGGAACTACATTGAGCCTTGTGGCAGACGAGACAAAGGGAGAGAAGATCATCTAAGGCAAGGGTGGGGAACCTAAGGCCTGGGGGCCGGATGTGGACCCTGGCTTGCCTAGATTTAGCCCCCAAGGCTCGGGCCTCCCCTTCCAGCACTGGGGAGCTCCTGCTGGTGCTCCAGTGCCCCCGTCATGTCCCCGTGGGGCTGGATTACACACAATCTACTAACTTGCCCCTCCAAGCTCTGGATGTGGGGAGTGTATTTCTCCGTAGATCGGGAGTGGGGAACCTTTTTTAGGGTCGGGGGCCGCTGACCCATAGAAAAATCAGACGGGGGCTATGTCATTGAAGTTTTTTGGGGTTTTTTTGCTTCTCACGTATGTGCGGCCCCGACTGATTTTTCAGTGGGTCAGAGGCCCCCAGCCCAAAAAAAGGACTTCCACCCCCAATCTAAGGCAATGGTAGGGACACGGTCTAGATAAATCATGGGCAAAGTAGAGTGGATTCCTTGGGAAGTGGGTTATAACGAGGCACTGAAGGCGAGAGAGTGCGCTGCATAGACAGGAAATGAGAGATTGTCCTCTGTTCAGAGTAGCGTGAAGCATATCCAAGAATGGGAGACAAAGAAGGGTCTGAAAGCCTTCGGCTCCTTCTTCTGGGGCTGCTAGCCAGCTGCACTCTTGAACCCCGGAGTAATGTAGAGCAGCCTCCGAGCTGATTTCCATTATCCTGGATTCCACGAGGCCATGCCAACAGCCGGAGACTGGAGTGTCAGAATGTGAAGAGAAAACCCCTTTCCCAAGACACACTTCCTGCACTGGGAACCAGGAAGCATTATTCACCTCTCCCCCAAAGTATTCTCCCCGCAAGGGCTCCGTGGAAGTCAATGGCTCAGGACTCCTGCTTGTGTGAGGCTGGGTAGCTCCCCTGAAAATATCTTTTTAACGTTTTATTAAAGGTACAGAAAAGAGGGGGGAACAGTTCAAGCATTTGAAATGTGAAGTATTAAGTCAGGCATTCGTCCCTTGCCCTTTAACCAGAGAGTTTTTAGACAGAAACCGCTCCTATTTTCTAGTCTCTTCTCTAAGACAAAGGCCACACTGGGTCAGACCAAAGTTCTTTAATAGATGGGAATAACTGATCTTGTGGGTGAAAGAGAAGAATTTAGTTGAGGTGGGTTGGTGCGGCTCTTGTGAAAGTCCAGTCCTGTGTCCTATAAGACAGAACAAGACAAAGAGGGGAGAAGGAGTAGAAATGGTGCCCCCGGCCTCTGTTTGTCAGAGGCTGGGAATGGAAGACAGGGGAGGGATCGCTTGATGATTCCCTGTTCGGTTCACTCCCTCTGGGGCCCCTGGCACTGGCCACTGTCGACAGACAGGACACTGGGTTAGATGGACCTTTGGTCTGACCCAGTACGGCCATTCTTATGTTCTTAGAAAAGAGCAGCAAGGGCAGGAAATAAAACTACAGTAAAACTCCAATAGTCCGGCACCCAATTGTCCGGCATCCCGATACTCCGGCATCAAAATGGCAAGCGCTCCTGGCCAGCTGATTGAAAAGCCGGTCGCTCAGCACACATGGTGGCTATACCTAGACAGAGCATAAGGTTGAAGGAGGGAGTGGGGCGCTCCTGGCCAGCTGATTGAAAAGCCAGTAGCTCAGCACACGTGGTGGCTATACCCAGACGGAGCATAAGGTTGAAGGAGGGAGTGGCATGGGGTTACAGCACAGAGAAGAGTGTTTGCTCCAGCGAAGAGGAAAGGGAAGGGGAGAGAGAGGGGGATTGGGTCCCAGCCAGCTGGTTGAAAAGCCGTGCGGGAAGGGGAGAGAGAGGGGGATTGGGTCCCGGCCAGCTGATTGAAAAGCCGTGTGGCTGTACCGGGACCTCCTGATACCCCGGCATATCCGATAATCCGGCATTACCTGGGTCCCAAAGGTGCTGGATTTATCGGAAGTCTACTGTATTATCACTGGAGTTAACCTCTCCTTGCAACCTCTGTGCTGGAGAAAGACCAGTGTGGTGCATATTTTTACTAGCCACTCTGAGACTTGTCAAATGTATACCAGCCATGGTCTGTTTAGAGCAGGGCTGGCCAAGATACGTCCTGAGGGCTGGATCCGGCCTGCCCAACACTTGGATTCCCCCCACAGACTGCATCTGGTTGTTCTCTATTTATATCCTGTTGCCCGGGCCACTGAATTTCCAGGTGCTGGCTCAGGCAGCAGGATCCAATTTAAATGGCTCACAACTCCTGGTTGCGTTGCTACCCCAGCCGGGGCCAAGGCCGAGAGCTTTTGAATAGTCGCAGCAATCCCGGGTGGCTGCCAAAGGATGCAGTCGCGGAGAGCTTTTGAATAGTCGCAGCAATCCCAGGTGGCTGCCAAAGGATGCAGTCGTGGTAATCCGAACTAAGGACTTAGCCGCGGGCAGTCAGTTCGAACTAAGGGGATTTAAAAATGGCGCCTGCCCAGGAACATGCAAATGAAGCCTGGAATATTTAAATCCCGGGCTTCATTTGCAAGTTCGAATGCCTACATTAGCCACCCTAGTTCGATATAGGGAGCTAGTGTAGACATATCCCCCCACAGACTGCATCTGGTTGTTCTCTATTTATATCCTGTTGCCCGGGCCACTGAATTTCCAGGTGCTGGCTCAGGCAGCAGGATCCAATTTAAATGGCTCACAACTGCCGGTTGCATTGCTACCCCAGCCGGGGCCAAGGCCGGGAGCTTTTGAATAGTCGCAGCAATCCCAGGTGGCTGTCAAATGATGCAGTCGTGGCAGGGCCGTGAACCCTTTAAATTGCTGCTATTTAAAGGACTCACAGCTCCCCGCCCCACTGCTATTGTGTTGCCTGAAAGCTTCCCAGGGCTGCTGAAGCTATTTAAAGGGCTCTCAGTCACAGCACTATCCCGGCAGGGGCTGGAGCCGTGAGCCCTTGGCTGTGTTTTTATTCAAAACCTCTGGCCCCAGACAAGTCTGGGGGAAGGCCAGCCCCCAGCCCCGCCCCTTCTGCCCCAGACTCCGCCCCTTTGGGGGGTGGAGCCAGACCATGACCCGTGCCAAAATTAATTAAGTGGCCCCCCTGCAAAAATTATTGCCCGCCCCTGCTTTAAAACTACCTCTGTGATCACAGGCTCACAGCAGCGCTGCAAAATAGACAGTCTTGGCCAGCTAAGCCAGTCCTAGTAGACACAAACAGGAACCACACAGGGAAGAGGAGAAACAAAATGGGGCAGGGCAAAGTCTCACTTCCCTGATGGTGGTTGGATATAGCCTGAGTCCGTGAAGCTGGAAGTGTCATCTGAGGCCTTCTCTCGGGCCCCGCTTGGCAGGCAGCAGGGTGGCAAAGGTCAACAACGTCTCAGTAGCTCCCAGAGTCCCAGGGCGTGATGGCAGTGACAACCATGGTGGGAAAGCTCGCTCCTTTTGGTTCATCTGTTCCCAGCCAGCTGCTGTCGGACAGCTTTTTCTTCTGGTGATTCCAGCCCCCTCCCCCACCTCGGCCCCCGCAGAGCCTTTTTTAAAAAGGGAGTTTTGAGCAGAATATTTTGTCCTCATTACTGCGTTCACCCGGTAGGTCTAAATTCCCACATATCAGCTTTGGTCCATTGGTTTCCAGTCCCACATTTCTCTTCTTTTCCAGACAGGGTTTAAACAGGTTCCTTGAGTGAGATCAAGAGGCCTTTTGGTTTGGAATAATTTGTTCCGTATCCCCTTTTCACTTTTCCTCATCAACGCTGGTGGTTATAGATTGTGGTGACATATTATGGACTTTCACTTCCTTTGCACAGCGGGGCTTCCATTTCCCCCAAATCTCTCTCTCTCTCTCTCTCTCTCTCTGTCTCACACACACTACCCTGAGGTTTAGAGCAGAATGGCATACAGGTCACTTCCGCGGCGGGGGCGGGAGCCGTGAGCCCTTGGCTGTGTTTTTATTCAAAACCTCTGGCCCCAGACAAGTCTGGGGGAAGGCCAGCCCCCAGCCCCGCCCCTTCTGCCCCAGACTCCGCCCCTTTGGGGGGTGGAGCCAGACCATGACCCGTGCCAAAATTAATTAAGTGGCCCCCCTGCAAAAATTATTGCCCGCCCCTGCTTTAAAACTACCTCTGTGATCACAGGCTCACAGCAGCGCTGCAAAATAGACAGTCTTGGCCAGCTAAGCCAGTCCTAGTAGACACAAACAGGAACCACACAGGGAAGAGGAGAAACAAAATGGGGCAGGGCAAAGTCTCACTTCCCTGATGGTGGTTGGATATAGCCTGAGTCCGTGAAGCTGGAAGTGTCATCTGAGGCCTTCTCTCGGGCCCCGCTTGGCAGGCAGCAGGGTGGCAAAGGTCAACAACGTCTCAGTAGCTCCCAGAGTCCCAGGGCGTGATGGCAGTGACAACCATGGTGGGAAAGCTCGCTCCTTTTGGTTCATCTGTTCCCAGCCAGCTGCTGTCGGACAGCTTTTTCTTCTGGTGATTCCAGCCCCCTCCCCCACCTCGGCCCCCCCAGAGCCTTTTTTAAAAAGGGAGTTTTGAGCAGAATATTTTGTCCTCATTACTGCGTTCACCCGGTAGGTCTAAATTCCCACATATCAGCTTTGGTCCATTGGTTTCCAGTCCCACATTTCTCTTCTTTTCCAGACAGGGTTTAAACAGGTTCCTTGAGTGAGATCAAGAGGCCTTTTGGTTTGGAATAATTTGTTCCGTATCCCCTTTTCACTTTTCCTCATCAACGCTGGTGGTTATAGATTGTGGTGACATATTATGGACTTTCACTTCCTTTGCACAGCGGGGCTTCCATTTCCCCCAAATCTCTCTCTCTCTCTCTCTCTCTCTCTGTCTCACACACACTACCCTGAGGTTTAGAGCAGAATGGCATACAGG